GTAACATATAACTGGAATGATGCTCTATTCAAAATAGCCGAAAGTTACATGACCGGCCATTGTTCCGGCCTACGGACCTTTCGTCAAATGGAAGGTCATTTGGTCCAGCCTGTCAATACAGCCGTGCTCCGCGACAATGGGTGCGAGGCTGGACGCTCAGTGGCGCGGCGAGGGGGGCCACCGCCTCTTCTGCGAGGCATCAGAGAAGCTGGCTGGGGCCCCTCTGATCCGTGTTTTGGGTGAACCAGAAGGGGCCCTCCCGAAACCTTCTCCTGTAAAGTTGTGGGGCGTTCACGTGGTCTGGGAAGAGTAGGGCCCCTGCCATGTACGATGTTTTTGTTGAGCTGCATTCCATTTCACATGTTCCGAGTAATTCGGTGCGTATTGTATCTCGCAACGTCATTCTTGTGCTTCTTTGCTCCCGATGCAGCATACATCTCTATCATTCTCCTGACGATAAGTGCCTGTGGTGATGACAGTGATATGATGATAATGATGACGATGAGTGCCTAAACTTCTGCTGGCGTGTACCTACCGGTAATTACAAGTGGTCGTGTGTGTTTTCAGGGTTTCTTGGTGTACGCCTGGCGGTAATTAGTGGGACTGTGTGTTTTCTAAGTGGGACTATGTGCTTTCAGGATTCCCTGGTGCATACCTGGCGGTAATTGTAAATGGGCCTGCGCTTTCAGGATCCCCTGGTGTATGCCTGGCGGTTATTACAAGTGGGGCTGTGTGATTTCAGGATCTAAAGGTGCGGCTCCAGTGAATACCGAGGAGCGCCAGACGGGCTCTGTTGTGTCCGATAGTTCGGCCAGCCGGGAGGAGATCTCCGCCTTGCCCGGGCAGAGTCAGCTAACCGATAGTCCTGTCACCTGTGACATTTGCGGGAAGACATTCAAGACGGCGTCACTGTTGCTGACGCACGGCCGCGTGCACTCCGATGACAAGCCGTTCACTTGTGACGTCTGTGACAAGCCCTTTCACTGGAGGAATAGTCAACGCAGGCACAAATGGACCCATACCGATGAGAAGTCATTCCGCTGCCACTTATGCGGCACGTCGTTCAGTTTAGAATGCCATGAAGACCCACGCTCTGATCCACACTGGCGTCAAGCCGTACAGCTGCGGCGGGTGCGGGAGGTCGTTCACGCAGAAAGTCAGCGTCGCGCACCACATGCGGACACATACGAATGAGAAGCCGTATAGCTGCGCTGTGTGTGGGAGGGGGTTCAAGCACGGCGGCGGCCTGGCCGCGCAGTCACAGACACAGTGGCAAGATGTTCGGATGCGGTATTTGCGGAAGGTCGTTCGCGCTGAAGGCGTATCTGGGTGCACACAGTCGCACGCACACTGGCGAGAGGTTGTTCACATGTGGTGTTTGCGGGAGATCGTTTTCCAGGAAGTCGGCTCTTGCTGAGCACGTTGGTACTCACAGCGAAGAGAGGCCGTTTTCTTGTGGTGTGTGTGGGGCCTCGTTTAAAGGGCGGAGGATTCTAGATGCGCACTTCCGCATGCATTCCAGCGAGAGGCCGTTCAGTTGCGGAGCATGTGAAAAATCATTCAAGACTAAGTCTCATCTGAACATCCACAAACGAATACACGCCGGCGAGAGGCGCTTCAGCTGTGACGTATGCGACATGCCTTTCATACATAAGAACAGCCTGCGGAGGCACGCCCACGCTCACCCGGAAGTGTAGGAGTTGACACCCCTGTGCAGAAATGGCGCTGGGTCCGCCCGTGCTACCTCCTTCACTCCTCGCGTTGGTCGACATTTCACTATTGCTATATGTATCAGTCGGCATACTTGCCTGCGTGTGCTCACCAGAACACTGAACCGCCGAATGACCCGACCTCTGAACTGTGTGGGAGTCTGTACGATCCTGATGTCGTGTTATGAGACGATGCGTCGTGCTGAATGCCGCGTTTGCTGCAAGTCTGAAGGCCGTGTGGCACCCGCTATACGTAGGGAGCGTCAGCTTTGGTGACTGCGGAGCTTCCGGCTCTGTTGCTAATTATTTTTTGTCTGAGCTGATTCGTGTCGCTTTCTCAGTACAAATCAGGCCATCAGCAGACCTAGGAACGAACATGAAGGCCGTAAAGGATGCAAGAACGTTGATTGCAAGCTTGTAGCCTACCAGCTTTCACTATATTGTTGGGCGCTCAGTTTTGGAAAATAAGTTTCGGATTTTGAAGAATACAAACCACATTTCGCACTTTACCCTTACAGAGAATTTGCCCATGCTGCCAATTTCGTGGATGCTCTTGGTATGCACAATCTGCGCGCAGGTCTGGTTCAGCACTCGGCCGAAATCTCGGGAGTGAAAGCGTCTAGTTTCTTGAGCCACAGCTTGCTACGGGAGTTGGAAATGAAAAGTTCTTGCGTTGTTAACCGGGGCGCCGTGCCAGCCATCATGAACTACCAGATTGCACCAAATGACCACATCAGTGGACCGCAGTGCGGTTCTACTCGCGCTTGCTCCTCCTGCCAAGCGGTGTACCAACTACTTCCCTTTCTTGCTCTTCGCGCGGCCGCTGGCTTTGTGGGTGCCGACTAACTTTACGCGATTTCGTAATGTCATAAGAAACACGCATTAATCGCCGTCATCTGTCTTAGGCGCCTCTGCGGTCTCGTTAGTCTGTGCACGAGATCTTGCATTGTCATCGTGGTCTGCGCTGGAACGCCGGGGCGCATGCGCGGGGCTTCAGAGGTCGCTGGGCAGCGTCCCGCGGCGTACATCGGCCGGTGCATACTGCATGTCGGCAGGCGAGGTCCGACCACGAACAGGGCCGCGACTCTGACTAGCCTATCACAACGCGAGCGAGTCCGACATCTTTGGCTGGATGCAGGTAGCCTCCTGTCTCGCCACTTGGATGGATGGCGGGAAGAAGAACGCTGAAACAAGGTGAAAGGTCACGACGGTACGGGTGAGCGGGCACGGAAGAGTTTTGGAAAATACTATCTCCGATCTAATAAATTAATAAATAGATAATAATAAATTTATAATAAATAAATAATAAATAAAAAAATTAATAATAAATAAATAATAAATTCTCCGATCATTCATACCCCTTAAAACTCGCCTCGGCCGATAAACCAACACCGGTCTCATATTTTACACCACTCAGGTCTATGTGCCCAAACACTTATAAACATATGAATGATCACCCCCCCCCCCCGTAGAGGCCGCTGAGTCACGCCCTCTGGCCGTCCCCAAGAACCTACGTCAGATTGGTCGTGGCGCGGAGCACCCCGCATAGCCGAGCTCCACGACTCACTTTGGCCTTGCGCCGGAATGAAACAAGTTTTTCCACTGCGCATGCGCATCACCCAGCTATAGTACCTGGAACAACCGATTCGGAGTTTCTCATCGTTCAGGGACCGATCTTGGCCTCCCGCACCAGCGCGACCGACAGCCAACCGCCACCTAGCGAGAGTTCTCCGAATCAGCTGAACCTTGGTGCCGTGTGCAGCCGAGGCCCGCGCCATGCACAGAAACGGCGCCCATCTTCCGTTCCAAGCGCCGGCACCACGTCGACCGCGGAACGGATACGCGAGCGCCGCGTCGCCGCGGGTGAAAATGTTTACAGAAGCAGCTGCAGATTCAGGAGTCATCAATGACAAGGTCGGTCGGTAATCGGCTCGGAATTTCAGGCGCCCAGCATGTATTGAGTTGGCTGGGGCATTGCACCGTTCATCAGCTTCGCGGGCAGATCAGCGCTTAGTGCACAATTTCAGCGCCGGGTGGGAAATCCTCGACGAAAAGTCCTCAAAGTCCGCTGCGGGAGCTGCTGTGGGAACGGTGGGAAGCTCTCTGCGTAGGAGCAGCCATTCAATGTGCATGCTGTGGACAGACACGTCTCCTCTCCCAAGCTGTGGGAAAGTTTATCAAGGCCAAATAGAACGTGTCTCAGACAGGCCCAGCGTCGGCGCCGGTATCTTAGAGCGTCATTTGTGGCTTCCGCTGTGGCTGTGGGGCATCCATGGCTCGACCAATGGCATAGGCGGATCCTGGGGGGGGGGGGGGGGGGCACGGGGCCATGGCCCCCCAAAAACTCCAGGCTAGATCCGCCACTGACCAATGACCTGCACTGCACGAGCCTGGTTGCAAGGACAACGCTCAAATTTTACATTCATCCACAGCTTCTGAAATGAAATGCGGTGTTAACGCTTCATTCCACCAAAACATTATTCAAAGCGTTTGAAGCAATATCTCAGCAATTCAATTTTGTATTTTTTTAGGGACCAGTTTGCCAAACTTCAATCATTTCTTTTTCAAAGAAATGATAAGGATTGAGCTCCAGGTTCCACATTGTGCAAGTTCTGCTCAACATTGTGGGAGTCCAGCCCATAATTACGGGGCTCAGCTCAACATTTGAGGGGCCATGCCCACCTCCCCCCCCCCCCAAGGAAATGCAAAGTTTTACCCCTGGACCTTACCAACCCGAGTATAGATTCGGCATGAGCCAAAGTTCAAATTTCTGGTGGTAGTTTCACGTTAGCGGATGTAATGAACTGCACTAGCGTGTGCCAACTCCGAACGCTCGGACTCACGGCGTACACGCGCAGACATTTGTGCCGCGTTGTCGCTCCTACCCCAGACACGTTCGGAATAACATGCATTTTTGCATCCTGGTTGGTTTGCATCCATTGCGGCAGCAATGCGTTCCGTTGCTAGCTGTCCACGGCGCATTGAAGTCCCTGGCCACTGACGTCCCCCTTTTCGAACATAGGGGGAGATTCACCGGGGGGGGGGATTTTCACCTGTCGTTTTTGCCCTTATCTTTAGCATAATATACGTAACATCGCACACATGCATGTAATACGTTGCTCTTGGTGGTGGCAGATATCGTACCTATATCTATATCTATTATAGTGGTGTGCGTCGATCTCACCACTATTGCTTGCAATGCTAAATGGCGCAAATGTGACAATTGTGTGTGAAGAGTCTAGTGTACTGAGGTTGCGCCGCATCTCATTCTGCAGCTGAGGAGAGCGCTGGGGAGGTGCTGGCGGCAGTGGTGAAGCGGGAGGGTGGAAGCTGGTAATGGGTGCTCCGTGTTTATAGTGGTATACATATATTGTTTCAGCTGGCGGTTTTCTTCAAGTACTTCACCTTTTTTAGAAGAAGAAAAATCTCCACTGCGAGCGTTTTACGCGCAGTGCGGCACGGGCTCAACCAGCTCGCGTTAGCAAGATTGCCCGACTTTGAAATCATACAATCCAAACGACATCTTTAGCACGAAAAATAAAGAGCAGGCAATTAACATTATACACTACGTCGTTTCGACCACTGCTACTCACAATGCTCGCATGATTGCCTATCATCTTCAAGAAATAACCATCTGATAATATAATAATTTCGGCCACAAACAGGTCATATGATTTTTAACACGCAGACAGCCGACGATTTATAGCGTGTACTAAAAGGGCAACATAAGCACCAATTACGTACCTTCGAGCAATCAAGAAAAGTATCCCAGTCCTTCACATTCGTGTCTCGAATTGATGTTTCCAAACAGACAGCACAGAGAAAAACCCAACAATGTCGGCGGAACTGAAGCATTTCCAGCAGTCTTAAAAAACGGACCAAGCCACGGGAACCAAACACCGAAGCCAAGCCAACGTTTTCGGTGCGGTACATTGACGTCTATTAGCGCAGTGCATCTCATACACGAGTCCGGATAATGTGATTCACACTTATTAGGACCAAACACATCGTGACGACATTGTCGCTTAAACTACAACACTTGGATTCAATTAATATGACTACTCCGTTTGCCGTGACATGCTGCCATCATGTCATGCAGAGGGATTGTCGTAGTACCCTCTTAAAGTAGTGCACCTCCTGTACAATTCCAACGAGCAAGGCTTGAAATCGCTCTGACATCCAGAGACATACTCCGCCGAGATAATACGCCAACAGCCACCCTAAGGAAACGGATCAAGCCTCGGGAAACGAAGACTGAAGCAAGGCCAGCGTTTTCGGTACGGTACATATACGTCTGTTAGCGTAGTGCGCCTCACACACGAGTCCGGATAATGCAATTCACACCTTTAGAACTAAACACGTCGTGCTGGCAATGTCGATGGAACTGCAAGACTTCGGTCCGATGAATAAGACTCATGCATTGCCGTGAGATGCTGCAATCATGTCGTGCAGAGGGACTGTCGTAGCACCCTCTTAAAGTAGTGCACCTCTTGCACAATTCCAACGAGCAAGGCTTGAAATCGCTCTGACATCAAGAGACATACTCTGCCGAGATATTATGCCAACAGCCACCCTAAGGAAACGGATCACGCCCCGGGAAACGAGGACTGAAGCAAGGCCAGCGTTTTCGGTACGGTACATATACGTCTATTAGCGTAGTGCACCTTATACACGAGTCCGGATCATGCGATTCACACTTATTAGGACCAAACACATCTTGCTGACGATGTCGGTGGGTATGCCAGACCACGGTCCGATGAATAAGACTCATGCATTGCCGTTAGATGTTGCCATCATTAGCGGACGGACTGCAGTAGCACCCTCTTCAAGTAGTACACCTCTTGTATAATTCCAATTGGCGAGACCTAGAAACCACTCTGACATCCAAAGACGTTCTCTGCCGAGATAATATGCCAACAGCCACGCTAAGCAAACGGACCAAGCCCCGGGAAACGAAGACTGAAGCAAGGCCAGCGTCTTCGGTACGGTACATATACGTCTGTTAGCGTAGTGCACCTCACGCGAGTCCGGATCATGCGATTCACACTTATTAGGACTAAACACATCTTGCTGACGATGTCGGTGGACATGAAAGACTTTGGTCCGATGAATAAGACTCATGCATTATCGTCAGATCTTGCCGTCATTGGCGGACGGACCGCAGTAGCACACTCTTCAAGTAGTACACCTCTTGTATAATTCCAATTGGCGAGACCTAGAAACCGCTCTGACATCCAAAGACGTACTCTGCCGAGATAATATGCCAACAGCCACCCTAAGCAAACGGACCAAGCCCCGGGAAACGAAGGCTGAAGCAAGGCCAGCGTTTTTGGTACGGTACATATACGTCTGTTAGCGTAGTGCACCTCACACACGAGACCGGACAATGCGATTCACACTTATTAGAACTAAACACGTCGTGCTGACAATGTGAATGGAAATGCAAGACGTCGGTCCGATGAATAAGACTCATGCATTGCCGTGAGATGCCATCATGTCGTGCAGAGGGACTGTCTTAGCACCCTCTTAAAGTAGTGCACCTCTTGTACAATTCCAACGAGCAAGGCCGGAAATCGCTCTGACATCCAGAGACATACTCTGCCGAGATGATATGCCAACAGCCACCCTAAGAAAACGGACCAAGCCCCGGGAAACGAAGACTGAAGCAAGGCCAGCGTTTTCGGTACGGTACATATACGTCTGTTGGCGTAGTGCACCTCACACGAGTCCGGATCATGCGATTCACACTTATTAGGACTAAACACATCTTGCTGACGATGTCGGTGGATATGCAAGACTTCGGTCCGATGAATAAGACTCATGCATTGCCGTCAGATGTTGCCGTCATTGGCGGACGGACTGCAGTAGCACCCTCTTCAAGTAGTACACCTCTTGTATAATTCCAATTGGCGAGACCTAGAAACCGCTCTGACATCCAAAGACGTACTCTGCCGAGATAATATGACAACAGCCACCCTAAGCAAACGGACCAAGCCCCGGGAAACGAAGACTGAAGCAATGCCAGCGTTTTCGGTACGGTACATATACGTCTGTTAGCGTAGTGCACCTCACACACGAGTCCGGATAATGCGATTCACACTTATTAGAACTAAACACGTCGTGCTGACAATGTCGATGGAAATGCAAGACGTCGGTCCGATGAATAAGACTCATGTATTGCCGTGAGATGCCGCCATCATGTCGTGCAGAGGGACTGTCGTAGCACCCTCTTAAAGTAGTGCACCTCTTGTACATTTCCAATGAGCAAGGCCTGAAATCGCTCTGACATCCAGAGACATACTCTGCCGAGATGATATGCCAACAACCACCCTAAGAAAACGGACCAAGCCCCGGGAAACGAAGCAGCGTTTTTGGTACGGTACATATACGTCTGTTAGCGTAGTGCACCTCATACACGAGTCCGGATCATGCGATTCACACTTATTAGGACCAAACACATCTTGCTGACGATGTCGGTGGATATGCAAGACTTCGGTCCGATGAATAAGACTCATGCATTGCCGTCAGATGTTGCCATCATTGGCGGACGGACTGCAGTAGCACCCTCTTCAAGTAGTACACCTCTTGTATAATTCCGATTGGCGGGACCTAAAAACCACTCTGACATCCAAAGACGTACTCTGCCGAGATAATATGCCAACAGCCACGCTAAGCAAACGGACCAAGCCCCGGGAAACGAAGACTGAAGCAAGGCCAGCGTTTTCGGTACGGTACATATACGTCTGTTAGCGTAGTGCACCTCACACACGAGTCCGGATCATGCGATTCACACTTATTAGGACTAAACACATCTTGCTGACGATGGTATAAGGTACGCTGCGCTTATAAATATATATGTACCGTACCGAAAACGTTGGCCTCGCTTCGGTCTTCGGTTTCCGGGGCTTGGTCCGTTCCCTTAGAATTGCTGTTGACACGTTATTTCGGTACAGTGTGTCTTTGGATGACAAAGCCGTTTTTAGGTCTCGTCAACGAATTATGCAAGAGGCGCACTACTTTAAGGTGCTACTACAGTCTGTCCGCACATGATGGTGACATCCCACGACAGTGCATGAGTCTTATTCATTGAATCAAACCATTGCAGCTCAACCGACATTGTCGGCACAATGTGTTTATTTCTACTTAGTAAGAAGGGCTCTTGTTTCAGGTGCACCGTACGACTAAACGTATATGTACCGTACCTAAACCGTTGCCTTTGTTTCGGTCCTCGGTTCCCGGGGCTTGGCTTTGTTCCTCAGGGTTCGTGTCGGGATGTTATCTCAGCGGGGTGTGTCTTTGCCTTTCAGAGTGGTTTTTAGGTCTCGCCAATCGGAATTATACAAGAGGTGTACTACTTTAAGAGGGTGCTACTACAGCCTGTCCGCACATGATGGCAGCATCTCACGGCAATGCATCAGTCTTATTCATCGGACCGAAGTCTCGCAGTTCCACCGTCATTGTCAGCGCGATGTGTTTAATTTCCATAAGTGTGAATCGCCTGATCCGGACTCGTGCATGAGGTGCACTGCGCTAATAGACGCATATGTGCCGTACCAAAAAAGCTGGCCTAGCTTCAGTCTTCGGTTCCAAGGCTTGGTCCGTATCCTTAGGATTTTTATTGGCATATTATCTGGGTAGAGTATGTCTTTGGATGTCAGAGCGGTTTTTAGGTTCCGCCAATTGGAATTATACCAGAGGTGTACTACTTGAATAGGGTGCTACTGCAGTCCGTCCGCGAATGATGGCAACATCTGACGGCAATGCATGAGTCTTATTCATCGGACCGTGGTCTGGCATATCCACCGACATCGTCAGCAAGATGTGTTTGGTCCTAATAAGTGTGAATCGCATGATCCGGACTCGTGTGTAAGGCGCACTACGCTAATAGACGTATATGTACCGTACCGAAACGCTGGCCTTGCTTCAGTCTTCGTTTCCCGGGGCTTGATCCGTTTCCTTAGGGTGGCTGTTGGCATAATATCTCGGCAGAGTATGTCTCTGGATGTCAGAGCGATTTCAAGCCTTGCTCGTTGGAATTGTACAAGAGGTGCACTACTTTAAGAGGGTGCTACGACAGCCCCTCTGCACGATATGATTGCAGCATCTCACGGCAATGCATGAGTCTTATTCATCGGACCGAAGTCTTGCAGTTCCATCGACATTGTCAGCACGACGTGTTCAGTTCTAAGGGTGTGAATCGCATTATCCGGACTCGTGTGTGAGGTGTACTACGCTAACAGACGTATATGTACCGTACCGAAAACGCTGGCCTTGCTTCAGTCTTCGTTTCCCGAGGCTTGATCCGTTTCCTTAGGGTGGCTGTTGGCGTATTATCTCGGCGGAGTATGTCTCTGGATGTCAGAGCGATTTCAAGCCTTGCTCGTTGGAATTGTACAGGAGGTGCACTACTTTAAGAGGGTACTACGACAATCCCTCTGCATGACATGATGGCAGCATGTCACGGCAAACGGAGTAGTCATATTAATTGAATCCAAGTGTTGTAGTTTAAGCGACAATGTCGTCACGATGTGTTTGGTCCTAATAAGTGTGAATCACATTATCCGGACTCGTGTATGAGATGCACTGCGCTAATAGACGTCAATGCACCGTACCGAAAACGTTGGCTTGGCTTCGGTGTTTGGTTCCCGTGGCTTGGTCCGTTTTTTAAGACTGCTGGAAATGCTTCAGTTCCACCGACATTGTTGGGTTTTTCTCTGTGCTGTCTGTTTGGAAATATCAATTCGAGACACGAATGTGAAAAACTGGGATACTTTTCTTAATTGCTCGAATGTACGCAATTTGGTGCTTATGTTGCCCTTTTAGTACATGCTATAAATCGTCGGCTGTCTGCGTGTTAAAAATCATATGACCTGTTTGTTGCCGAAATTATTATATTATCAGATGGTTATTTCTTGAAGATGATAGGCAATCATGCGAGCATTGTGAGTAGCAGTGGTCGAAACGACGTAGTGTATAATGTTAATTGCCTGCTCTTTATTTTTGGTGCTAAAGATGTCGTTTGGATTGTATGATTTCAAAGTCGGGCAATCCTGCTAACGCGAGCTGGTTGAGCCCGTGCCGCACTGCACGTAAAACGGTCGCGGTGGAGATTTTTCTTCTTCTAAAAAAGGTGAAGTACTTGAAGTCAGTCCTCCAGGTCCTGCAGGTTTTGTTGATTCGATCAGGTGTGTCATCATGATTTTGCACAAATTGGTGCTGCATGCACCATCACCTGAGCTTAGTTCCTAGAATGGTGTGGTAGTTCATAGAATGGTGTCATAGTGAGGTAGACTGTGGGTGTGCATTGTTAATAGGGTTGCACTTTTGGTGTTTTGTAAAGTAACCAAGATAACCAGGTGCAGCAGCAGATGCTTTTTCCTAATCTGCAAGAGTTGTCATTCCAGTCAAAGACATGTTTGGGACAGGTCTAATCTGATGAAGCGAGTTTCATCCCTGCTGCCAATCTTTCAAAATTAATCCACTACCATTGATTGCTGAAACTATATGCTCAGCACAATGTTTTTGGGCTGGGGCCCTACTGAAGGCATGGGCCAACTTGCCCAAGTCATTAGTGGTCAAATGACTAGGGGAAGCAGTCTTTAAGATTTTTTCTGATGTCCTAATTAGTATCTACCACATGCCAGTTACCCCTTACTGCTCTGGGCAAAAAGGACCCAAGCTGCAGTGAATTTATCATCTAACATTTTGTGCTAGATTTTCACTTCACAAAATTAATTGAACCCACAAATAATGTATCAAACACTGTGCAATGTGAGCAGTAAAATATAACTGCTTTGTAGCCACCACAGTGATCACTGGTGACAGCACTAGGGCTTTGGTTGTTGACCTATCTGGTATGAGGCTGGTTGAGGCTGGTTTGCCTGTTAAGTGAAACCAGTGGAAGATAGTAGGAGGATAAAAACCTTGGAACTTGTGGAAGCTTTTGGATCCCAGCTCTTGAGTTCAGAGAAATGCTTCGCTCACTGCACTTTTATCAAAGTGAGCTACCTTCCTCTTTTTAAGGCACAGTTGCTTTGAAAAAACATGATTTCCTGAAATAAATATAAAAATTATAATACAAGATATCAAGTAATTGCATGCATCATGATACAGGAAAAATTGCAGGTACAGATGAGTTCCTTATTTCAAAGATCAGAGAAGGGAGAAATACCAGATATTTAGAATAAATGAGTAGCTCAGTAATAATGAAAAGTAGTTTATTGGTTGAGGGACACATAATTTGTTACAACAGGATTAGTAGGTAGGATCATAGAATAGACAATGCCATTGATAGGAGCATAACCTACTGCACAAATCAAGGCAGTGAATAAGGAAGAATAATATAAGGTGAAGTAGTATGAAATTAGTACTGTGGGATATGTTGTTTATATTTACTTGATTTGTTTGCTTATTAACTCTCAAATTAATTATTCACAATTCAAGTTGTTAGGACATGTGCTTATATAGCCTTAGGGCAGGTGCAGCTGAAATTTTCTGACTATGCCCTCTTCATTTTTACTTGGTGGGTCCCTACAAATTTTGGAGCTTGTAGAGATCATTGTGTGTTACTTGACCAGCCCTGTGTTACTGACATGTGACTTTGTGGTGTTCTCTTTTCAGGATAACTGTGGTATTTGATAAAAACCTATATTGTGTAATCCAAGTACTTGAAATAATTACAGCACAAGTGTGTGTGGTCAAGAATGGCATTTTTCACTTTTAGAGATGTATCCCATGTATTTTTGGCCATGCTTTTCTATATAAGCATTGCTATTGACTTCACTTGGTGGT